AGGGCTTTGCCTATACGGCGTAGAGGCTGTCTTATCTATGAGCTGAAACAACTTCTCCTTGGAGTGAGCCTAGAGCGAGCTGACACAGCAAGGCTTTCCTCCCCTGCTTGACTGTGAAAGCAAACAGTAGTTGTTGCAAAGCTGCCAGCTGTGAGTCCGAAGTGACTTGGCCACGATCCCTGGTCGCCTGAGTTGAGGCCTAGTTGGAGCTGGAGTCTTTACCCTCTTCTAGTCATCAGGCAAAACATGAGTTTTGCTGTAGAGTTCCTTGGAATTTGAGGTTACAGGAATTGTGTCTCTATCTTTAAGAACAAAACAGCCCCCCTTCCAAGCACACGCTTCTATTGCCACTGCCTGCCCTCACAGCACTAACTTGAACTGCATGGAGATCATTCCAGAAGTAAACTGAAATCCAGCAAGCTGGGCCATCCCGCCCACCTAATTCTATCATTCTCCTTCACCCAAGGGTCTCTGAGTGCTCTGGTTGATGTGGGGTTTGTAGAGCATGTAGAAGGCAGCTTTTGTTGAAAACATCCTCAGGTTTATGGCCCACTTGCTGTGAAAGTCCAAGGAGAATTTGGAAGGGAAAGCTGGTCTTTTTACTCCAACCTTCATCAAATGACACTGAGATTTTTTTTGCGTTCAGAAAAACCAGGATATATTTATTTTATAATCCAAAAGATGGTTTGTCAGCACAGTGACAAAACCCACAGTGTTGGCTGGTAGCTGATTCAGTGGAGAGAAAATAAACTGCTTACTGTTTGGCTGGCAGGAAATGGTCTTGGCCATGCAGCAGCTGGTCTTTAAGAATATCAGCAAGATCCTGAACTTGTTTGACCTTGATTAAACTTATGGTCCCTCAGATTTGACAGCAGAAAACAAGAAAGCTTCAGGCTAGAAGTGCTTACAGTATGTGTTACTGACCATCAGTGTGAACTCTGTTCCATCTTTGTTTCTTTTTGTGAATAGTAAACCTTCTGATAAATACAGGGCTTCTGGAAAGGAGAGGAAATCCTGACAAAACAGTGCCTTTGCTAGAGGGGGAGGGCTGCGGCTTTGATAAAATGCTGTTCAAATGGGAACATTAAAATTACTTGGCAAGTTTAACGGAACTAACACAAATAGTGCCTTTAGGAAGAAAAGCTTCCTTTACTCCATGTTGTGGACAGAGGAGCATTTTCTGGCTTGTCTGTTGACATGGAGCATGGCTGCACTGCAAGTCTCTCTCAATCTAGCTTGAATGTGAGAGTCTTCAAAGGAGGCAGTGGGTTTGCTGATGTTGCAGTATGAGTTGGCACTTAGAGCTGTATCAGGGTGGAGATGGGGATGGAAACATGGGGTGCATCTCTTACTTGTAGGGAACTGGCCGAGAGCACGTATTCATTCTTTGCCTGGTGCATGTCTAACAGCAAGAACAGAACATCAAACCCCAGTTCTTTGCCTTCCGCTGGCTGACGCTGCTCTTGTCCCAAGAGTTCCTGCTGCCAGACGTCATCCGTATCTGGGACTCCCTCTTTGCTGATGATAAGCGCTTTGATTTTCTTCTGCTCGTCTGTTGTGCCATGTTGACGTAAGTACAT